GACGGCGATGGTGATCATGGCCGCCAGGAGGATGATGGAGACGGTGCTGAGGGTGACGATCAAGGGGAGGGAGAGGTCCCAGTGGGGTCGCCGGTGCTGCTCTCCATTCACCTGGGGCTCCCCCGCTTCCGGCAGGGGCCCGGCCAAGGCCCGGACAATCAGCTTAGCCACGGCGGACAGACTGGGCTTCCCGTGGTCACTGACCTTGACCACGAGCTCGGCCACGGGGCTCAGCTCTTCCCAGTAAGGGTGCAGAGTGCGGATCTCCCCACTTTCGGGGTCCATCTCAAAGAGGTGCTCCTCGTTGCCTTCCACAATCTCGTAGGTGAGGTGGCCGCTTTCTCCAAAATCACTGTCCAGGGCACGGACGGTGCCCACGGGGTACCCCACGCCGGCATTACTCGGGACCTGGAGCTGCGCAGTGTCGTTGATCAGGGTGGGCAAGACGATGACAGGGGCGTTGTCGTTGACATCCAGGACGGTGACCCGGACGGTGGCGTTGCTCTCTCGGTGGGGGGAGCCGGAGTCTTTGGCCAGGACGTGGAACTCGAAATGCTTGGTCTGCTCGTAGTTGAAGCTGCGCAGGGCGTAGAGGGCACCGTTGGTGGGGTTGATGGAGACGTAGGTGAAGATGGAGACGTCCCCCACGTGGCCGGGAAGGATGAAGTAGGAGACGGTGCCATTCTGGCCGAGGTCCGGATCCTTGGCCAGCACGGAGCCCAGGTACTCGCCAGGGATATTGTTCTCGGGCACCTGCAGGACGTAGAGGTTCTTGTTGAAGCGGGGCGGGTTGTCGTTCTCGTCCAGGATCCGCACGGTGAAGGATTTGGTGGAGTTGAGGGGAGGGCTGCCCCCGTCCCTGGCCACGATGGTGACGTTGTACTCGTCCTGGACCTCCCTGTCCAGGGGGCGATCGGTCACCACCGTGTACAGGTTGTCGTAGTTCTCCTCGAGGGTGAAGGGGGCGGCGCCGTCCCCTCCACTCCCTTCCCCCTGCACGCGGCACTGGAGCTGCCCGTTCTTGCCGGAGTCGCGGTCGGTGACCCTGACGAGGGCGATGACGGTGCCCGGCGGGGCGGCCTCGCTGAGGGCCCCCTGGCGCACGGAGACGAAGCCGATGGCGGGGGCGTTGTCGTTGCGGTCGAGGAGGCGGACGGTGACCTTGCAGTGGGCCGGGATGGGGTTGGGCCCCAGGTCGCGGGCCTGCACGTCGATCTCCACCAGGCCGCCCTCCTCGTAGTCCAGGTTGCCCTTGACGCGGATCAGGCCGGTCTGGGGGTCGATGCTGAAGAGCTCGCGGACGCGCTCGGGCGTGTAGCCGCTGAAGGCGTAGAGGACCTGCCCGTTGGTGCCCTCGTCGGCGTCGGTGGCGTTGAGGTCGATGACGGCCGTGCCGAGCGGGACGTTCTCGGGCAGCTCCACCACGTAGGCGGGGGCCTCGAAGACGGGGCTGTTGTCGTTGGAGTCGACGAGGCGCACGTCGAGCTGGACGGTGCCGGAGTGGGGCGGCTCGCCGCCGTCGAGGGCCGTCAGCACCAGCGTGTGGTGGCTCTGCTCCTCGCGGTCCAGCGGCTTCTGCACCACCAGCTCGGGGAACTTGGTGCCGTCGCCGCGGGCCTTGACGTCGAGGGCGAAGAGGCCGTAGTCGTCGCGGGTGAGCAGGTAGGTGCGCAGGCCGTTCTCGCCGGCGTCCGGGTCGTGGGCGCTGGCCAGCGGGAAGCGGGTGCCCGGCGCGGCGTTCTCCGAGATGTCCAGGTCGACCTGGTCGGCGGGGAAGGCGGGCGCGTTGTCGTTCAGGTCCTGGACCTCCACCTTGATCATGCAGATCTCCTGGTCGTTGGCGAAGACCTCGAGCGAGAGGAGGCAGCGGGCGCTCCAGCGGCACAGCGCCTCGCGGTCGATGCGCTGCTTGGTGTACAGCAAGCCGCTCTCGCCGTCCACGTCGAGCAGGTGGGGCGCCGAGTTCTCCAGCACGCGGAAGCTGGACTTGCCCCCGCCGACGCCGACGCCGCCGCCCCGGGCGCGCTCCACCGACGGCAAGCCGCCGCCGCCGCTACCTCCGGGCTGCAGCCGGGCATCGCGGCCGATGTTGCCGATCACCGTGCCGGCGCCCTGCTCCTCGGGCACCGTGTAGTTCAGGTTCTTGAGCGCCAGGGCGGGAGCCCAGCACAGGACGAGCCACCAAGCCCACGGGGACATCCCCGACGGACGGCCGCGGA